GAAGCTCTCGAGCAAGAAAGTAGCGAAGAGCAATGTGCTTCGTCCTGTGCTCCAGTCTGTGCTCCTGACACAAGGCAAGAGCCGCCTTGTTGTCACCGTACAGAACTGGAGGAGAACTAGGCCGCTCTCCCAAGTCAGTCAGCAGGTAGGTGAGCCAGCGTAACTCCTGTGCAGCCATGGCTGTGGCGTAGATCTCAGCCTCACAACTAGAGCCGAGAACAGAGGAAGAGCGGGTGGACCGCCACGAGACAGAACCTGAGCCAAGGCTGAAGGTGTAACCCTGTGACGACCGCTGCGTAGCCAGGTCGTCCACCCAAGAGGCGTCCGAGTGACCAGTGAGGACAACTCTGTCGCGTCCTCCAAGCACCAGCCCCATGCCTGATGTACTGCACAGGTAACGCAGCACCCTCTTAGCAGCCTCCCAGTGCTCTCGCCTGTGTCTCCCAGGCGCAACGTAACGAGCAAGGATGCTAAGAGGGTACGCGAGGTCAGGTCGCGTGCAAGTCATCAGGTACATGAGGCAGCCTACAAGCTCTGGGTATGGGCCACTCGGCTCTACGGACTCGTCCGAAGGTGGAGCTGAGAGCGAGTGGCTGGTAGCCAGAGGTGTGGCCTGTGGTGAGGAGAACTGGAAGCCGAAGCGCTGAAGGACCTGCTGCACCATGTGTGACTGAGTCAGGGTGATGGTGCGGCGAGCTCTGTCCCGGGTGATCTGCAAGCCAAGGTAACTACGCAGCTCACCCAGGTCAGTGCAGGTGTGTCTCTTCTGCAGCTCCGACTTCACACGAGCGAGTGCCTCAGTGTCAGCAGTAGCAAAGACCAAGTCGTCGACGTACACGAGGATGTAGAACGGCGGCAGCGACGTGTCTGTGCGCAGAAACAGCGACGGGTCAGCAGTAGACGGCGCGAACCCAAGAGCCGCAAGAGTAGTCCTCAGTGTGTCGTGCCACTCACGTGGCGCCTGGCGGAGACCGTAGACTGGCCGGCGGAGGCTCCACTGGGTACCAGGGGGAAACGACCCAGTAAAGCCAGGTGGGCGGCGCAGCCAGATCTCCTCGTGCAGGCTGCCCTGCAGGAACGCTGTGCTGAAGTCAAGAGAGTGAAGCTCGTAGTCACGCTGAGCAGCAACGTGCAGCAGAACCCGAAGAGTGGTCATCTTCGGGGTGGGGGAGAAGGTCTGGAAGAAGTCGACCCCCTGACGCTGACTGAAGCCTCTAGCAACGTAACGAGCCTTGAAGACAGGCGGAGAACCTGGCGGCCGCTTCACCCTGAAAATCCACATGCCATCGACGATGTTCGCCCCAGGAGGGGGAACCTCGTCGACGTAGGTGCCTGTGGACTTCCAGGATGCCATCTCTGCGTCCATGGCTGTCTGCCACTGAGAGGAGTAGGGACCCGAGATCGCCTCTGCGTAAGTGCGCGGAGTGGGGATGTCTAGTGCATCCGGGTCTCCCTCAAGGGCAAGCAACCAGGCCACGAGATGAGGTACAGCAGCCGCAAGAGAGTCAAAGTCCTCCTGCCTGTCCTCAAGGACGTCCGTGCCAAGAGCACACTCACCCCCGACGGACGGAGGACAGACAGACGCAGACTCTGACTCAGCGACAAGGCTAGCAGCGTAGTCTAGACGACAGGCAGCAGCAAAGTCAACCAACTCAGCGACCAGAGCAAACGCAGCAGAGGACTCAAAGGTGGGGTCAGTGACAACAGTAGCAAGGAGACGCGTGATTGTAGGGTGCTCAGCGCGATACCGGTCAGACTCAGGGTCCGGAACGGCAGGTAAAGAGGATGCAGGAGGAGACGGTAGAGGGACACGCCGAGGAGCAGTAGAGGGACGCAGAGTCATGTAGTGAGTGCCTGGGACAGGAGGAGGACGCTCACGACGGACACGACTACCAGTGCGAGCAGGACGAACAGGCGACGCAGGACGAGACTCAGGCTCACGTCGCTCTGTAAGACCTCCTGTGGGACCAGTATAAGGAGAGGGAGCAGGGAGAGGCGAGGCAGGCGGTAACTGTGACTGCGGCTGGACAGGCGGAGGACACTCTACGGAGGGAGGAGGACAAGGAGGAGGAGCCTGCCCAAGAACCTGCTGAAGGAGCGGTACGAAGTACGGTCGCGGCCGCGCAGCGTCTCCAGAAGCAGACGGGACTCCAGCGGCCGGGTCCTCAGCACCAGTAGCAGCTCCACCGTCCGACTCCTCAGCACCAGCAGCAGCTCCACCAGGTGGGTCCGCAGCACCAGCCGCAGCGCCACCCCCAGAGTCGGCAGCTCCAACTCCGCTAGCACCGCCAGCGCCAGAGTCCCCAGCTCCAGCAGCTCCAGTCACAGTGCTCCCAGAACAGCCAGTCCCGGCAGCTCCAGTACCCCCAGTACGAGCACCCCCAGGACGAGCAGCTCCAGCACCCCAAACTCCAGCCGAGCCACTAGGACGGCGAAAGCGTCGGACGTACCAGTCGCGAAGCTGCTGCGGTGTGAGAGACTGCTCAGCACCCCGAACCGGAGCACCCCCAGACGCAGTAACCCGAGGCTCCGTAGGCTCAGTAGCAGCACCCCCAGGCTCAGTACCCGCAGGCTCAGTACCCGCAGGCTCAGCACCCCCAGTCGCAGCACCCCCAGGCGGCAAACTCTCAGGCACAGTACCCTCAGCTCCAGCACCCGCAGTCCCAGCACTCCCAGGCCCCGCACCCGCAGACTCAGGCGCAGCACCCCCAGGCGCAGCACCCCCAGGCTCCATACTCTCAGGCACCGTACCCTCAACTCCAGCACCCTCAGTCCCAGCACCTGCAGCCCCAGCACCCCCAGGCCCAGCACCCCCAGGCTCAGCACCCCCAGGCTCAGCACTCCCAGCAGCACCACCCGCAGCAGCACCTGAGTCACCTGTGACCTCGACAGGCTCAGCGACGGGAGGAGGGTCTACCTGAGAGACACCTGAAGGAGCAGGACCCTGAGGGGGAAGGGGGTCTACCGGAGGGGGACCAGGAGCAAGGAAAAGCGGCGGGGGAGGGAGGGGGGCAGTGCGGTAGGGGAAGAGACGGTAAAAAGGGACCGACTCGTCAAAGGTGACATCCTGAGAGGCGAAGACCCGGCGCGAGGTGGGGTGGTAAAACTGCCAGCCAGGCGCGTCAGGGACAAAGCCAAGGAAGACACAGGGAAGCGTGCGGGAGGAGAGCTTGTCCGCAGACGTATCGCGGACAAGGGCACGAGCACCCCACACCCGGAAGCGCGACGCATCGCCAACCTCCCCCGTCCAACGCAGTGTGGGCGAGGTCTCCGGCAAGGAGACACGGGGCCAGAGGTTGAGCTGATGCGCGGCGTACCGGACAGCAAACGGCCACAGAAAATGGGGAGCCGCCGCGTGGACCAAGGAGGTACGAGCGACCTCCATGACCAGGCCAATGCGGCGCTCAGCAACCCCATTCTGCTGTGGGGAGTCCGGAAGCGTGAAGGTCTGCTCGATGCCCTCCGCCTGACAGAAGGTCCTCAAGAGATCGGAGGAAAACTCACCACCTCTGTCAGAGTGCAGACGCAGGACAGGAAGATCCGTCCGGAAACGGCGGCGGAGCTGGAGACGAACGGTGCGGATCCAAGGGATCAGAACAGCAGGGACCTCACCCTTGGTGCGCAAGGGGAAGACCGTGGTGTAACGCGAGTAGTCGTCGACAACCAGCAAAAAGTACCGCTCACCGCCCTGACCACGAACGCGGGCTGGGCCCCACACGTCCAGGTGGAGGGTCTGCAGAGGAGCCTCTGTCGGGGGGAACGAGGAGGAGTGAGGAGCGGCGCGCTGCCGCCCCTCGACGCAAGGAAGGCAAGGCGGCGCAGGCGAGGCAGGGAGGGGAGGGAGGGACCTGGGAAGACCGGACACAAGGAGGCGACGGTGCATGCCACGAAGGCGTGGCAAGGAGGGGTGACCCAGGCGGTGGTGCCAGAGAAGAGTCTGGTGCGACAGGGAACGACACTCACAGGCGTGGGCCACCAGACCTGACGCAGACACCTGACCGACAGCAGCTACCTGGGGAGACGCAGTGGTCAGTGTGTAGAGACTCGACCCCGGCCGACGGGTGAACGTAGCCAGGTGACGGCCGGTCCTGGAGCACGTGCAGATCGCCACACGCTGTCCGCCAGGGGTAAAGGTGTCAACCCACTGATCCTGGAGGACAGCGTTGCTCACCAGGTTCGTCGAGAACGAGGGGAGGTGGAAACCCGACAACGAGCCAGACGGAACCGCCGGACAAGGGAGGACAGTGGTGGACTGGGCAAGGACTGGGCCCCCAGAGGGGTCAGCCAAGGAGACTGGGACCGGTGCAGGAAGCGGTGTGAGCTCAGTACTGTCACGGAAGAAGCAACGGGAAGCACCTGAGTCAAGGGTGAAGGTGTGACAGGCCTCAGCCGGTGCGGTACCTGAGAGAGGAGTCTCTGTGGGTGCTGTACCTGAGAGAGCAGACTCGAAACCAGCCGGGACAGCACTGGGGGGAGCAAGTACAGGGGGCACCATACCAGAGAGAGCAGACTCACTAGTACCCAGGGCAGCGGGCTCTATACCTGGGTCAGGCGGCACACACAAGTAACAGTCTCCCTCGGCACTAACAGTCAATGCATACATGGCAGCAATAATAGCATCATAGTCAAGAGCAAAGACATCAACACCAGCCCTCATGAGCTCAGCCCAGCGGGGGCGCTCAACATCCGCACCCATCTCCTCACGCCAAGCGTCGTCAAGGCGGGAGAAGCAGCGGTACGGGGTGTGGAACCTCCCACACGTCTGTCCCTTGCGGTCACCTGTGCGAATGACATAAGAACAGCGGGCACTGGCCCCCGACGTCCCACGCTGAGCAAGCCACTCATGAAGCTGCTGGGTCGTCTGGGGACGCTGCTGCTGCTGGGAGCTCTGGCCCGAGCCAGTGCCTCCACTCCGACCTCCGCCGCCACCACTACCACCGCTCCGACCGGCACCGCCACCACCGCCACCACCGCCACCGCCGCCACCGCCGCCGCCGCCACTACTGCCACTGCTTCCTCCGCCGCCCCCGTCTCCACCACCGACCCCACTCCCACCAGCGCTCCCGCCACCGCTCCCTCCAGCACCGCCTCCCCCCCCCCCCCCCCCCCCCCCCTCCCCCACCTCCTCCCCCCCCAGCGCCACCACCACCACTTTTGCCCCCCTTGCCCTTGCCGGTGCGGCGCCTCCCACCAGGAGTAGAAGCAGCGCCAACAGACTCAGCACCAAGGAAGTCAACAGCAGCAGCAGCAGCGTAGGAGGGAGCGAGGGGAGAGGGAGAACACCCCTCAAAGATGGGGGTGCGAGGAGCGCCACGAGCAGCACCAACAGCTACAATGCTCTTTTCGGCCGCGAGCAGGTGCTCCTCTAGGAGGGCGACTGTGAGCTCAGTGGGACAGCGAGCAAGGAAGTGGTCTCGAACTGAGCGGAGGGTGTCAGGGAGACGGGTGACTATGAAGTGGAGTGTCCAGTACAGTGGAGGGGGGTTCTTAGCGCAGAACTCGGTGGGAAGGGCGGCACGCAGGCGAGCATCACTAGTGCGAAGGTGGGTGATAAGATCGGCGACTGTAGTAAAGGTGGACAGATCGGGGAACAGGTACGGCAGCATGAGGCGGCTAAGCTCGGCTGTGGCAGGCGAGGAGTAGCGAGCGACGACAGCGTCGTACAGGGCCTTAGCGGATTTGCAGTCGCCAAAATGCTCTAGCTCAGCTAACGGCAGGTGACTGCGAATGGCTAGGCGAGCAGCTGCGTCACGAGTCTGCCAGTGGGAACGAACACTAAGCTCAGCTGTGGCAGGAGGGGCAGGCGCAGCACCAGACGCGTAATCATAGAGCGACACATGCTCCTTGCTATCGCTCAGGAGGAACAGCTGCAGGTCATCTAGCCAAGCGGTGAACCGCACAGGGCGGCCCTCAGCATCGAACGACAGCACGCGGATGGAAGCCATAGCGACAGTGTGACAGAGTAACGCAAGCTGCCGCAGCAGGGGAAGGCGACTGTGCACGGATAGAGAGCAGCGGGCGAGGCTGGCGCTACGGGCAGGCGGCGCTGCAAGCGGTCAGCGCGACGGGAGGGCGACGCTGCGAGCGGGCAGCGCGGCGGACGGGCCGGGAAGCGGGCAGCGCGGCGGGCAGGCGGCGCTGCAAGCGGGCAGCACGGCGGGCGGGCGACGCTGCGAGGCGGGCGGGCCGCGAAGCGGGCAGCGGGCGGGCGGGCGGGCTGCGAAGCGGGCAGCGGGGCGAGCGGGCTGCGATGCGGGCGGGCCGCGAAGTGGGCAGCTAGCGGGCGGGCGGGCTGCGAAGTGGGCGGGCCGCGAAGCGGGCAGCGGGGCGAGCGGGCTGCGAGGCGGGCGGGCCGCGAAGCGGGCAGCGAGCGGGCGGGCGGGCTGCGAAGTGGGCGGGCCGCGAAGCGGGCAGCGAGCGAGCGGGCTGCGAAGCGGGCGGGCCGCGAAGCGGGCAGCGAGCGAGCGGGCTGCGAAGCGGGCGGGCCGCGAAGCGGGCAGCGAGCGGGCGGGCGGGCTGCGAGCGGGCGGCTCGGCGAGGGGCGCGCGAGGGCGCTAGTGAGGGGCGCGCGAGGGCGCTAGCAAGGGGCGCGCGAGGGCGCTAACGAAGGGGCGCGCGAGGGCGCTAACGAAGGGGCGCGCGAGGGCGCTAACGAGGATGCGCGCGAGGGCGCTAACGAGGGGCGCGCGAGGGCGCTAACGAGGGCGCACGAGGGCGCTACGAGGCTAGGGCACGGGGTAGCGTGGTAACCGCATGCGAGCGGTGGTGGGCCCTTAAAAAACGGTCGGTAGGTCCTAGGGACCTCCTGCTCTGAATACCATATCAGAATCACTAGGCAAGAATGGTTGAACTAGCAGAAGTTTGGGTACAAATATGAAACCCTAGTTGGGGTTGTACCCCATATTGGCTACCCCACTACAGCCTACAAGCATAATACAGTTTAACAGTTACCACCAGATTAGAGTAGTTCTAGAGGACCAACACAAGATGGTGTTTTGTACGAAGTAGAGATTGTAAGGGTTAAGAGTTCTACCGATCGGATTGACCAATGCCCCAGAAACATTTTAGATGCTCATGAACACCATCCTGTCCGAGTTCCTAGGTTTGTTTGTCGTAGTTTACCTTGACGACCTATTCTTCTCCAATATGAAAGATGAGCGCGTGCAGCACTTGCAGAAAGAATTCAAGGTCTTGCCACTGAGCAAGTGTGATTTCTTCCTCCGCTAGATCGAGTTTATAGGTCACGTCATATCTGTCAGTGACATTACGATTGACCCAGAGAACATCGCTGCAAGGGTGGCACCGACCTCAGTCAAGCAGTTTCGAAGCTTTCTAGAATTCAGAGGCTTTTATCGTCGTTTCGTTTAGGGATTTGCATCAAACGCTAGTCCACTTGCCGGCCCACTTTGGGAGGGAGAAGAATCTGATTGGGGTCAAGCGCAGCAGCAGGCGTTTAAGCAGATGTAGCATTCGCTCACATCTTCACAGACACTGTCGTACTTTGTAGTGACCGACGCATCAGATCAGGCCATTGGAGCAGTACTTATTCGGGACTAAGGCCGCGGGTTGCGGCCGGTCGCATACGAGTCGCATAATGCAAGAGGAGCAGAGCTGAACTATTCTATTTGCGACGGTCAAGCGCGGCAGCAGGTGTTTAAACAGATGTAGCATTTTCTCACATCTTCAAAGACACTGTGGTACGTTGTACTGACTGATGCATCAAATCGGGCCATTGGAGCAGTACTTATTCGGGACCATGGCCGCGGCTTGCAGCCGGTCGCGTACGAGTCGCATAAGGCGAGAGGAGCAGAGCTGAACTATTCTATTTGCGACAGGGAAGCACTCGCGATCATCCATGCGTAAAAGGGGTGGAGATGCTACATAGAGGGGGGGAGATAGTGTTATATGCACGGACCATTGCTCGCTTCGCTTTCTCAAGTCGCAACCGCAGCTGAGTCGTTGCTTGGCTAGGAGGATGGAGTTTTTGGAGGGGGGTTTTCACTTCAGCATAGGGTACAAGCCAGGCATTCACAACCCAGCAAAACCGTACACTCGCCCTAGTTGCCAGCTTGTTCGCCTCACAGTCACTGCCGGCCATCCATTTCTTATTGCACTCTTCGAATATGGTTACATAGTAGATCCTGAATTGACACTGCAACCACCCGCATGAGCACAAGTGCAAAGTAGTGTTTACATTCGGCAGGGTACCACACAGATCTGAGGTCCTACTTACCATCCTCTTCGGAAACTCCTTTCCGAGGCACACGGCGTAATTAACACATGTCACTTTGGAGCGGATAAGATGGCTAAGTCACATAGTTGTGCGTACTTTTGGCGAGGGCTTGCAGTAGACGTAGAAGACTAAATTCACTTATGCAACACGTATCAGCATACGAAGTCCTCTTGCCAGTGTAAAGTCGGACCTTTGCAACCAATTCCACCACACGACCGCCCTTAGCAGGTAGTTGAGATCGACTTTAATATGTCATTACCGTACAAAGTTAGGGGTTACGATGCCATCTTCGTCGTAGTGGACAAGTTCTCTCGAGTAGCGCATTTCGGCAAGGTGACAGTAGAGGAAGCCGTGACACTGTTCGTAGATAACGTAGTCTAATCGCATGGAGTTCCAGCATCCATAATCTCAAACCGCAACCCTTGTTTCACTTTAAAGTTCCGAAAGCAGCTTTTTGCACTGTTTGGGACCTGGTTAGTCATGTCATCTACATCCCATCCAAAGACGGACTTAATGACAAAGCGCGTGAACCAGACCTTGGAGCAGATTCTTTGCTTCATCACGATGCACGACGCAGCCGCATGGGACAAGAAGACGAGCATGGTAGAGTTCGCCTACAACAATATGCACCATTCGTCTAGGGTAGACGTAGTCGCTGAGCATCAGCCAACTCATGGGAAAAGGTGTACACTGTTTATGCGACAGAAGAAATCGTGAGATAAATATTTACTCTTCAAGGGAAGGCTACTTTATAGCGTAACCAATACCACAAGGTGGAATGTTCATGAAGGAACTACAGCTGATATTGAATGCATTCTAGCCTTCGTCACCGAGACAGATTTTCATCCGAAGGAGCTTAACACCAAACTGGGTCATCATGGTTTTCTGTGAGAAGACGTCACACCGATTGAGTTAATAGCTATGCACATCACGAACTGCAATTGCAATAGAAGAATCGATAAGCACAAGCGAGGGAAAAATGGAACCAGTGCAACATCCATCGCGGTCCACTTACGTCGACTTGTCCGCTACTCAAAGCGCTATACGAGAATGAGTCTCATTTAAGTCATGCAAACTTCGTTGCCAACTCTTAAGTTTATCGACAATCAGCAAGATATGCAACATCAAAAGAAGTGACACAAACGGTTATGACATCATAGCAGCACAACAACATATAATACCTTTTGACCTAGCGTGTTTGACAAAGACACCTTACCTTTAACCGGCGGACATGAACTTCGACAGCCTTGCCACATCTGTATGCTGTGTCCCAAAGCTAATCTTCATTGGCAGCCATTTCTGTGATACCACAATCCCATTGCACATGTATACAAGCCACTGGGAAAGGTGTACAGTAACATTTTGGTAATTCCGCAACAAAAAGGACAACCAGATTTTAACTATGTTATTACATTCATTGAAACCGCCACTCGATATGTCTGGTACACCCTCATCCTTTCTTGCGACCTCGCTTATGAAGCCTTCGTTGCATAGCTTTCGGTACAAGAATGGGAAAGTAACTTGCTGCTTAAGAGCTTCCAGATTGGCGTGAGCATTAGACAAGCAGTCACGGCGCTTCAAAGGCTACCTGGCTGTTTGAGGAAAAATGAAGCTGCAGTCACTACCTTACCAGCATCAGCAATAGGGTATTGCAGAATTGAATAACAATATCTGACAGGTCATCATGCGAAAGCTACTTATGGAAGCACGGCCCCCTCTTTCCTGAGTCACTAGTCAGAATGTGCTTTCGGGCAAGCGGGTCTTCTGTGTTAAGGCTAACGCGGATAGGTCAAATGGGCGCTTTAAATCACGGTGGATTATTTGCGATTTCGACCAGACACACGACGTTAGTTAGGTGAACATTTCGCTCCCTTCATTCAACACATGTGACAAATCGATGTTGCCATGGCTTTTCTTTATACTCTCGTTGATACTTCAATCCTCGTTGAGCAGCCGCACAGCTATGACACCGACCCTTCCCTCTTGAAATTAAATGGGCACCACATCTTTCGCAGCACCATCTCTACGCTGAATTTATTTGTATCAGTTTCCATTAGGTTGTTAGAGACTAAGAACGGAGTCTATATAGATTAGGGGCCCAAATTTCTCAAAATCGTTGGCTTGGAATTCTGGACAGAATCGTCGAGTTCACAAGAAACGTCGTCGACGAGATATTAAATTCGGCGCACTAGGGGGTATGCTGCCACAGAAAACTTAACTCAAGAACAATTGTTTCTCACAAATTACCACAAAGAGGATTAGAATAGCAAGAAACCAGGTAAGAGGGAAGAGGAGGACGAGAGGGAAGGTCCCCAAGGAGTCCCCAACCAAGGAAACCCCATACCACACAATTCCCCTCTCTATAAGCACCCCAACTTTGACATTTGTCACTTTCCCAACCCATGCCATCCACCTCACCCAACTTGGCCACACTTGCCAACCTGGTTTGGCTTCTCCCAACCATTTGGCATCATCTACAGTAGAGTGACGAATTTTCCCAACCATTTGGCATCATCTAAGTCTATACCCCATTTAGAGTCACTCCACAAATTCCCAAAGTCGCCGCATCACAATCAAAACTTCGAACGATAATAACTTTCTCGTTCTTGCTCCGATCGTGACGATTCTTGGTTCGTCGGAAAGCTCTTGAGCAGGGAAGTCATTTCAGATATCTGCTCAAGCAAAACATCATTCACACACACTCAGAGAATC